GCCTACTTTATATTTCTTTTGACTGCATTCTCTTATCTCCATCCTTCACCTCACTACCTTTCTACTTGATGTACTGATATGAGGTGTGGAAACTCGGATCGTTACTCAGTAATGCCTGGTAGTATGTTGATACTGATTGATTGATTGTTATGCAGACCAAAGGATGCAACAACCAAAGAAGACAAAAAGAGTATCATTTTCAAAATCGACTGGAATAACTGTAGTCAACACACCACATTGGACAAAGTGGCTGCCCACCTTCACCTTCGTCTGCAAAAACACCAATTGGCTGTTAAACGTCACGACATTTCGTAGCTGCTTATTTCAATGCATGTGGATAACAACTATGGATATGAAGTCAATTTCGACAATGTAGAAATTTTCGACAGAGGAAACACAAGGAATGTCATCAGAGAATTTCTAGAAGCTTGGCATTCAGGTCAGTCAGTCAGCAATCAACAGATGTATAGACATAGACCCGATCTATCAACCAATAAGAAGAATGATAAACGACAGAAAGGTGAAAGGTGAAGCAGAGGAACAGTCAACAGGAAAGTCTATACAATTAGTCAATGATACACTAAACGAAGCAAATAACCAATCATAGACCACATCGTCATAGCAAGCTACTAAATCACTGACGGAGAGATAATGACAGCTCACTACTTCAAACTGAAGTTAGTGCTGACGATGTCACTGTCTAGCAAGACGATGAAAGCTTCACGAGTAAACAACTTAGCTGAGATAACACATTACAACGAAGACCATCCACCCGAGCTACAAATATTCTCCACTATTTCAATGGGTTTATTAGAATATTTGAAATTCCGGTTCTCAAGATCTCCCGTATCATATTACATTAGATTTATTTCTGGACTACTAATCTGATCCAAACCATCTTAATAATCCCGATATATGTTACCATAATGCATCCCTCTTTCTTAGTTAATTCACCACCCATAGACTTCCAATGTTTTTCTCCACTGAAAATCTCTTGAAAACTGGATATTTTCGTGATTCAATATTCTTATATGAATAACTAAGAAAAGATTACGTAGAATATTTTAACTGTATTGCATTAATTCACACTTTTGTAAAGTGATATAATGCTGTAGTTTACATGATTATTTCAGTAGTATGTCTGAGAAACAAGGAAAAAAATATTGCTTCCTTTGTTAACCCTTCTAATTTTGTGAACATGGAGTATGAGATGGCCTTTCGACCTTTTTCACTAGTCGATATAGAAAAATTGTATACGATTTGAAAATGATTTCAACTATTTTAACAATTGTATACTATTTGGATTTTGAGGAAGTTGTGGGGATTTGGAAATATTTTAAGTTATTATTCATCGTAGACTGACATCAGTTAGAGGAACAAAGGTAACCTGGGAGCAAAGCCTGATGGTCGTGAGGAAAATTACTCAATGATGACATTGAGTGGCGGTTGCGCTATATTGTGAGCTAACAGAAGTTGGAACTATGGACGATTGGATTCCGACCCAGTGGCTAGCCCAATGGTAACGTGCTGGCCACGGAACCTAGAGGTCGCGGGTTCGATCCCAGGTGGTGAGGTGTCGTGGGTGCGCACTGCTGAGGAGTCCCATACTAGGATGAAACAGCTGTCCAGTGCTCGCAGGTTTCCTTTATTCCTCCAACTGATGTCAGTCTACGATAAATAACAACTTGAAATAGTTGTATGATAAATCGCACATAATCTAATCTCATCATACAGAGCCGTGTAAAGGAAATGTAGACTTCCTGGCTGGGATTCACATGATAATGAAAACCCGTAGTAGGAGACTGTTGGTTTACTGGTACAGAATCGGTGTCTTTGGAACCGATACATTCAAACATTATTTTCCTATAAAGTGTCATACTGAGTTATGATGTCGTTTTATTTCTTTTTCACCTTCTGTTTACAAATCTCGGCCACTTTCGATGACTTTCTTTCTTACCTCACAATCTCTCATCTGGATGCTTTCTACCTTCATCTGCTAACATTAAGTATGACAGCCTGGACCGTTATCCAATTACACTAGCCCTCTTGTTAACGCTGACTGACTACAGTTGAGATTAGGCGGAACCTATGTATATGTTAGTTGGTTGGAGGCAATCGACAGGAAGCCCTGGACCTAAGTCCCTTGTCTCTTGGCACTCGTCAGCAAGGCGTATCTGCAACCTCGACGAAACTGATGTCCCGCCTGAGATTTGAACCCGCGTCAGCCAGTGTTGTAATCAGCGACTTCACCACTGAGCTATTAGGACCGCGACTGACCTCCTGTAAAACTGGCTTACATGTGTTGATTGGTCATGGGAGTGAAACCAATTTCATGTTGTCTTGTCCTTAGTGCAGACCGAATTTTGTCGATCATATTTGTAATGTGGCAACCAAGCTAGGAAGCTCAGCATCGCAGTGCACAATAGTAGATGTTAGTTGGTTGGAGGCAATCGGCAGGAACTTATGTATACTTTGTCATAGTAATCATCAAGGAGAATCTTCAAGCCATAAATTATGGTGTATCCATGAACCATTGAAGGAGGGGATTATTTGAACGGACTGTTAAATGATCGAATCTAGGGCAGAATGGTATAAAGGGAACAAAAAATAATACTTTAAAACAACTCAGGATGGGGATGTTAACTGTTTGGTGTCCTGCGAGTTTCGAAGTATATTCTTTTTTCGTTTCATCGACAGTCCAGGAAATGCATTCAGCATTAACTGCAAGTTGTCTCCTAACACTTAGTATACTGATAATTTTGTCTAAAGTGGATGTAATGATCAATTCGAGTTCTACCATCCTTATTCTGGGGTTATTCATAGGCGCCAATATCTATCTACTAGTATCATAGGCGGAGGGGAATGGGATGTTGCAAACTTCCTACCTCTTGTCTCACTACTGGTTTATTGACTAAGATTTGTTTTCTAATTCCTAGTTAAAGACATTTTTTTTTTGATGGCTAGGCAAAACTCGTTCACATACCATTCTTATTACTGAACACCTATCAGAGTGCGACAATATCCTCTATATTTTTCAAAGAAGCCTGGAAATCCATAGAAAACTTTCACAGTTAATCATAACATCCAGAACTTGACGAAAAGTTATATAAGTTTCAGATTGGCTAAAAAAATTTTTGGATGAAAGAAAAACTTAGCAAGGCCATCAAAAAATATATATGAACCGTTACCTTTTGTTGTATGTTTAACTTGATAATAAACCTTTGTCATTTTTGCCGCTTCTGTCTATTTTTCGGGAACCTAGCGACCCTCAAGGGTGAGTCCTAAAGTCAATATATACTAAAAGGACACACCAAAATTTGTGCATTGAAGATTTTCATTGATTGAATTCAACCTATATTCAAGAATATAATAAGATACTGATTGTAAATATAGGTAGAGGTTAACAGTGGAATCCAGGACGAGTGTTACGTCTTATTTGAGACTTATCATGTGGATAAGCTCTCTACTCGAACACTTGTGGGCATGTTAGAGCCTATGGCGAGTTGTCCAGGGAGCCATACTCATCAAGTGGTGTCCGTCAAGGATGCCCACTATCCCATTTCTTATTTAATTTTATCATAGATATTCTTATGGAGGTTTCCCTCTCGTCACCTAATTACAAAGACGTTGACCCAATCACAGGTGAATTTTCTTTAGATCTAGAATATGCAGATGACATAGTCCTGTTAGGTGAAGACGCTGACAAGATGCAGAGTCTTCTGAACACTTTGAGTGGGAATTTGAAAATGTTTGGGATGCTATTTTCACCACCCAAATGCAAATTTTTGCTCCCGGACTGGTCTTCAGCGGTGCCCCCCGCGGTTAACAATAGAGAGTGAAGTGGTTGAGTGTGTTGACCACTTCACTTACCTGGGAAGTAGGATCAACCCCGGTGGGTTAGTTGCCGATGAGATTCCTGCACGGATACAAAAGGCTCGATTGGCTTTTGCCAATTTGCGCCACCTATGGCGGCGCCGTGATATTCGTTTGTCTATTAAGGGTCGCGTGTACTGCACAACAGTCCGCTCTGTTCTACTGTATGGCTGTGAAAAATGGCCATTGAAAGTGGAGGATACAAAAAGGCTTCAGGTGTTTGACTACCGTTGCCTTCGTAGTATAGGATGTATTCCGTGGTGTCACCACATGAGTAATGCAGAAGTTAGGTGTAGAGTTTTGGGGAGAAGAGGTAAGTCAGTCGACGAGGTTGTGAACCTTCATCGACTGAGATGGTTAGGACACGTGCTACGTATGCCTAGTAACCGATTGCCTCATCACACAATGTTGGCTGAGGTGGGTCCAGGCTGGAAAAAGGCCCGAGGTGGCCAGATTAAACAAGGCACCAATTTATGAAGTCTCTGACTGTTGGTTTAAGCCATGTGGGGTGATGCAGACTAGGTGGTTGGGGTCCACGGCATAAGAGGAACCAGTGGTTGGAGACCCTAGGTGATATGGCTCAGAACCGAAGTCAGTGGCGCAGATGTATACACACATTATCCTCATCTTGACAACGCTATACCGAATCTCACCATTTTGTCACTTCTCTTTCCTTTCTTTTCGTACTTTATATTTCTTTTGACTGCATTCACTTATCTTCATCCTTCACCTCACTACCTTTTTACTTGATGAACTGACGTGAGGTGTGGCAAGTTGGACCGTTACGCAGTAATGCCTGGTCCTATGTTGATAATGATGATGATGATGATATCATGTGGATGTAGTTACCTTCTAGTCTGTGATATTGTCCGCACTAAGATTTGTTAGGTATCACCCATTGCTTCAAACCCCAGATTTTTATTGATTAGTCTACTGAAACTTGATAGCAATTCGATCTAAATACTCACATGGAACTACCAGTTATAATGCAACGCTGACTGTTATTAAGTACTGAGTTTACACAGATTAACTCGTATTTGACGACTGATGTTTTTCAATTCATATAATCATTATTTGATACAAACTCAGCCTAATGATTATTACTTGTAATTTATTATATTCAACAGACTCTTCGAAAACTAGTCGTTTAATGAGACAAACATCAGATCCACTAAGTCATCCAGTGATTCGTGGTCGTACTTCACAAACTTCTGGTCAATGGATGAATATTCAAGATGCTACACATACTGGCAATCAGATACCGTTATATCAACAAGCCTTACTTAGTCCACGTGTACAAGTTCCACAAAGTACTACTTTACAAAAGAGTTCAATACATCCAGAATATCTCAATATGCTAGCAGATTCTCAGCAACAAGCTCAACTTACAGCGAATCAGTCAGCTGGACAAATATCAGTGAATCGATCGAATTTAGTCCAATTACAAAATTTATATCAACAACTCCTGCAACAACATCATCAGCTGTTACAACAACAACAACAGCGTCCGCAGCAACAAACTTTCGACTATCCAAATGGTAACGAACTGTTTTTTAAGCTTTATGGTGATTAGCTTTCATGTTTTGTTGTCGACATGTCAATACATCAGTCATGATATCATTTTTGGTGGACTCCAAACAATTTAGACCATATCAATGATAGACAGTGGCTAAGGGCAGAATCCACAGAGTATGTACCGTCTAAGTTGGGACTCGTCAGTGAGTGATTTCATTCTACTAGGACCGTAGCCCAGGACTGATCGCTCCAAACAACTGAGTGATATCCACCAGGTCACCGAGTCAAGATAACAACTCCTTGTGCGCTGGGCAAAGTATACTTTTTGATATTCTACTAAAAGTGGAAATACAGACAGTATCAACGCATCCACACAGCAGCCCATATGCCAGTAAAAGTGAACGAGTCTGGTTCAGTCAACAACGAAGATTCCAAAGCTATGATACCAGAAACCATCCAAACTGTAGTTGTTACGAATGTCCTAGGAGAAGTTGACCCTTGAATCTCGATAAGTCATCACAGTATAATTCTGAAGAATATTTTTCTGAACGTTTCTCTGTGTAAGCCACCGCTTCTTTAGCAGAACATTCCAATTCACCTTTATTTTCTAAACACCCTAAGATTATACTAAAATATACTTTTGTAACCTTAGGTTTTCGTGAGTCAGAATAGACAGAATGTCTAGAAAAGGAGGCGTAAAGTGTTTAAAAGCTGTTTTAAACTTATATATATAACTGTACACAAGTAAACCTGTAAACTTCCTTATTTAAGGAAATACTAACCACGTAGAAAAATTTAATTCTGACATTTCACGAATCAACGTGCGGTAGCTGCTTCCTTCACAGAATAAAACCTATACAAGTTATTGCATGTTTAAGTAGTTAATCTAGACTTTCTGGTTTCGGTACTTTGGTTGATAAGGGAGATTTTTTTATAAAATAGAGAACCACAATCAGTTATCACAGCAGATTTTAAGGCAGCCTTTAAAGTCACCCTAAAACATGCACACACACATACACATACACAAGAATTATTATATTATTTTCCCTTGGGTTCCAAGTGGAACATACGGCTTCAGTAGCACGCCTCCATTCCACTCTCTTCTCGGCAGTCTTTTGAACCTGACGCCACGACTGATCATAAGCCTTCATTTCTTCCTCATATCATCTCCTACATGTCACCCTCAGCTAGGACGCCAAACATCGTTTCCCCTTTGGATTTCATTCGACGTCCTGGCACGTGATGTCCGCAGTTGGCCTTCTTAGTGTTTGCCCAATTCAATCCATCTCCACTTTTTAACAGTGCATATTTGTTTGGTGATAGGTTCTTGCTTCGCTAGTTTGTTGCCATACCAGAATTCCTCCTTGCTTATTCTTTCTCTCCTCATCTCATCTTCAGTATCGAGTGAGCATGGGCGGTAGCTGTTGATGAATGTCTGTAGTTTGTTAGAAGTGTTTTTCGTGACATGCCAAGTTTCTGAACCATCACATAGAAGCACTTACTTGACATTTGTATTGAAAATTCAGATCTTGTTCTTTGTGCTGAGTGCAGTGCAGTCCACACTGATTTCAGAATAATGAACACCTGTCTTGCTTTTCCGATCCTGGTTTTGACATCCTCGTCTGTGCCGTCTGTAGTTGAAACGATCCTGCCTAGATAGGTGAAAGCAACAACTTCCTTTAGGTTTCTCTCATTAATGATGATTGGTGTATGTTGTTGTGGTTGTGGTTGTTGGTTGGGTATCTTCATCACCTGTGTCTTCTCTACATTCAATTGTAGTCCCGTTTTCGCTTCTCTTCTTCTGTCAACTTGTCAGTTTTCACCTCATACACACGAATAAACCAAACGAATTACCCATTTATTCACACAAATAACTGCTGAGATAACCGATCACATCTCTTTATCTGATAAAAAACTACTTTCCCGCTCTAATTTTGAAACCTGAATAGCTATTTTAGCAGTTGCTAGGGTGGCATTTAACGTCATTCACAGAAGAGAAGGTTTAACCATCCATCCAACTTGAATGAGTCATTCCAAAGGGCGTCAATGCAACTGATGAAGTAATTAATCAGGTTTCAATATTTCTTTAGAGTCATTCGACTTAGACAGTGTGTCAGAAATAAGAGGAATTGTTTTAAAGGCTACCCTAACAACGATTGAAATGGTCAATTAGATCCCTTTTTTGATCGGCCGGAAAAACAAGTTTTTTGAAAATCAAGATGTCCAATAATAATAATAATAATAATGGCTTTATTCTGCAAAGCTATTTCGAGAATACTCTATAGAATGTTCAGCCTGTCATATAGAACCAGCTGGACAAAAATAGTGTATGTGTATACATAGCAAAATGAAGTAAGTAGAAATTACATATAAAAGATAATAACATCCACTCTATCCAAGACTTTCTTGAAAATCCGGAGTTAACTTAGGTAGACGGTAGATAATCACATCAGTAATTAGAATCATAATGCATAAATAGCGACATGCTGTGTACTCATTAATTAGTTTGTTTTCAAAACAAACAAAAGTTGATTAGTTAGTCCATTTTCGTACAGTCGATTAGCTAAATACATACTGTATTGTGGAGTTTGATATTTACTAGTACGTGCATAAAGTTTTATGTACTTGGTCCTTGTCTATTCCTGATGACCGAAATGTAGAGAGCTTTAAATGAAGAGGATGCTAGTCATCTGATAAAATAACCTGTATCAGACGTTTACATGAATTGATATATTTGCCCACAAATGTTTTAATTAGAAGGTTTAGAGGTATACCACTACTTCTGCTGACAATCCTTAAAGTTCTACCTAATATAGCATAGTCTTTTTTCAGAAACCCAGGAAAGAATAGAGGGAAGCAAGGTAAGATACAGGACTTTATGAAGGATAAAAGGAGAGGCTGAGTTATATCAAGTACTCTCAGCTTCCTAATATAAAAAGTTTGGCCAAAAATCGTTTAGAAATTGGTAAGATATGGGAGGACCAGGAAAGGTTGGAAGAAAAACACATACCGGGATAAATCAGATTTTTAACATTCTCTAATACACAGTCATCAATATGAAAGGAGTCATGAGAACTAAGAAGTTTACTTAGGTTATTTTCACGTTTGAAACTAAAGTGTATAGTCTAACATTTTGAAGAATTGAGTATTAGAACATTCATTAGGGACCATCGTCTAACAGTAGATAGAAAGAAAATCGCTCAGTTGGAAACAATCTGTTGAAGAGGAGACAAGTATGGAAACTGTCAGATCATCAGCATAATTAACATTATTGTTACTAGCTGAAGATGGTGAGTCATACAGAAAGGAAGAGAAAAGACAGGAGAAAAAGATGGGTTCTTGGAAAACACCAATCACAGTAAGCAATAAGGTACACAGCTTTCCTCCATGAACAGTATGTTGTTTACTTTCACAGAAATAGGAATACAGCCAGCTGATAAGCTAGGACTTGGTTGGCCTCCCATGTAGCTTGTGCAGAAAAAGAAGTCTTGGGACAGAATCAAATGGTGAACGATAGTCTACGAAGTCATACCTCACATATTTGGCATTTCAATCAAAACTATAAGCAATGTTGAGATAGAGGACAGTTGTGGCATACAGAGTGCTTATTCTGCATTTATATGCAAATTGATTAGGGTCCCCAAAAGCATACAGGTAGGGTTCAAACACAAGTACTATTAGCTTCTCCATTATTTTCAACGATGAAAAAGCAACTGCAATCGGACAGAATTTTAGACATGTACCTGGAGTAGCTGACTTAGGTATGAGGACTATCTTAATATCTTTCCAGGTAGTCGGTATGGTGTTTTCAAAAAAAGCTGTAGTTGGTCATTTCACTCGTTGTTAGAGTGGTCTTTAGAGTCAGTCTGAATTTCTTTAGCAGTCACCCTTACAACTGTTGAGATAATCAATAACCTCTATTTTGTGAAAAACTATTTTCCCATCAGAAATAACGAAACTTGTTTGGTTAATTTATGCAGTTGTGTTTGGGGGTCCCTTAGTGACACTCAATTTGTTGAGTTGGTCGTATGTTCCTTTAGGGATTCATCCCAAGAAACAATTAAATCATTCGAACAGAAAAGGATCAAATCATTTTAACAGCCTTTCAGTGTTAGAAGACATCATTTTCCCAGCATAGAGAAAACAAAGTGTATGTATGTGTGTGTATAGCTATTTCAAGTCTTGGAAATACAAAGTTTAATTTCGTTTTCAGAGTTACATCCAATATTATTTTCCTTTTATCTGGAGTAACCCATTCCTTCTGAATAGAGACAGACTGGAGCAGCTGTCTATTATACAGTTAATAAATTTATCTGGTCTCCGTTCATTATAAAAGTGTGGATGAGGTAGTGGTGGTGGGGACTGATTCAACAGGTATATTTCCATGCTGCCATTCACTTACCCACCTATCCGAAATGAATTTTCCTTATGAATTTGAACTTAAGATGAAACAGTAAGGGAAGCTTCTTTTCAATAAAATTGACAGAAATTTCATATGCGATAGGTTAGATTACCAAACCAATGGTACTGGTGGGTTGTAAGTCCAGAACGTTCCATTATAAGGAGAGAAATGTTACCAACATTAGACCTGGCATTACTGTGCAAAGGTCTAACTTTCCATACCTCATATCAGCACATTAAGCGAGAATTTACCAAGAGAAATGTCAGTGAAATGAAGGAGAAGGTAGTCGAAAGTGGTAGAAAGTAGTGAAAACAGAGCAAGGATGAATGAGAGAACGATGAAATTCAGTGTGACAATTAAAATGAAGATAATGCTTAGATGAGATAGACTGAGATAAACTGTCAGTGCGGATCCCAACTGGAAAGTCAACAATTCCCTATACAGCTCGTGCTAACAATCACAGATCTCAAGAAATGGTGTCATATCTTATTCTGGCCGGGTCTAACCTTCCTCCAGCTTGAACCTAATTCAGCTAACATTCTATGAAGACGCAATCAGTGACAGAACATGATATCCGACCTATGTTACGAAAGCGGTGGTGACTGAACACGACCATGGATA